CTATTACTCTTGCTCTACTTATTTTTTAAGCAAACTAATTTATTACTACAATTTTTTTTTGTTTGTTTAATACTAAATTTCATTATATTTTAAATTTTTTTATTTGGCTTTCTAATTCATCATTTTTAAATTGAAAATTTATTCGCTCAAAAAAATTCTGAAATTATTTTTATAAATTTTTATATTTTAGCATTTATTTACAAATATTTTAAAGTTTTTATTAATTTTCATTTGATAAATTATTTCCTGATTATCGTTTTATTGATTTTGCCATTATTTAAAAATTTGAGATTATTCTACTAATTAATTAAAGTTTTTGTAAAATTAATGGATTTATTCTCTAAATAAATTCACGATTTTAAGAAAGTATATTTAAAATATGTTCATGCATTATTAGAGTTAACTTAATTTTTGGATTAAATTGTGTAAAAACATTTTAAATACTTTTATCAACATCTAATAATTGTTATATATATTCAGCAATTTTCTTTTCTTAAACACAGAGGTCATTATTTATTAAGGAAGGTAAATTCAATAAATTTCCAGCTTAAGATTAAACTTATAGAATATCCATTACTTTTTAATTCTATTATTCAATATAAGTTGCTAGGCCTGTTAATTATTTTTAATTTATTTTGAATTATTCTTCAACTTGATCACTTAAATTATCTATTTATGTTTTTTAATGAGAAATTGCTGATAATATATCCTACATATTCAATTCTGAATTTGTTCCTTAAAAAGTTGAATCAACTCCTAATAAAGTTTTTAAATTTTCATTAGCAAATAAATTATCTGATTAATTTATTAATTTTTCTATTGATGATTGGTTAAAATAAAAATTGAAATCCCATTAATATAGATTAATAACTATCACTTTATTATTTTAAGATGTTATTTTTATTTTTAATTTTAAATCCTCCCATCTATTTGATTCAGGCACCTCCAAATTTCCTCTATAAATATAAGAACCATTTTCCTCGGTAAATGTGATTTCTTTTTCTTATTAAAAATAATTCTATAAAAAGAAACAATTATCCTTAATAATTGAACTTTTTTCTTTAAAGCAAAGTATTATTTAATACTATTAATCTTTGTGATATGCAAAATATCTATCTTAATTCTGTATTTATATATTATTGCTTTTTTATTTCATACAAAAATAAATGAAAAGGAAATGAAAATTTACAAATTTATAAAAAAAAATATTCTATTTAGTTATTTTACTGCTTTATTTATGATGAAAATAGATTCATTATAATTTTTTAAATTTCCACATCTTATCAATTCAGTTTGAG